GCGCAGAGTGGGCGGGGTCTTCTTCGCTATTTTAATTTCTACTTTTTTCTGCGTTGGTTTCCACGTATTTGGGAGTCTTTGGGCATCATCTCTGGTATTTAAATTTTTCGGATGTTTTTCGATCTCTATGGCTTCCCTGATTACACGTTTGGCCTTATTTTCGATGTTGGCTAGCATTGTTGTTCCATTTAAGTTTATCTTGTTTCCTGTGTGTATGGCATGTTGTGCTAGAGATGAAGTTTTTTTCTTTTCTTTCGATGGCGTTTCGATGTTCTTCGCGTCTAACTTGTATCCTTCGATTTGTCTGTCCGATGTACGATTTATCGCAGTCCTCACACGGGATTCTGTATACACCTTGATTTTCCAATGCAACTTTTGTTTTTCCGATGGTAATATGGTTGCGATTTTTTTGTCGGTGTTAAAAATAGTTTCTATTTTGTTTTTTCGTAGCACTCTGCTGATTTTGTCTGTCGTACCCTTTATATACGGCAGGATAGTTTTTTCGACTGGTTTTTCTTCTTCTTCTGAATCTTTGATTTTGTTTCGAGATTTTTATGACTTTTTGCATTTCTTCGTTCTTATGTTCCTTATCTGCCAGTTTTTCAGATCTTGTTATTAAGGTTTTTATTACCGAATTTAATTGTGCAGGATAATGGTGTGAGTCTGCGTGTAAGTATCTGTCAGTATGAGTTGGTTTTTGGTATACTGTGTGTCCTATGCTTCCGTCTTCTTTCTTAATAACTAACACATCTAGGAATGGAAGTTGTTGGTTATTCTCCCGTTCCATGGTAAACTGTATTTTTGGATGGATATTATTAATGTGTTGTAGGAATTCTTTAAGTTTATCTTCTCCATGCGTCCAGATAATAAATGTGTCATCAACATACCTAAGCCACAGTTTGGGTTTATGCTCTGCTGTTTCTATTGCTTTTGATTCTATCTGTTCCATAAAAAGGTTGGCTATTACGGGTGACAGTGGTGAACCCATCGGTGCTCCTTCAACTTGTTTGTACCTCTGGTCCTTGTAGATAAAATAGGTGTTGTTTAAGCAGTGCCTTGTCAGGTTTAGTGTATCCTGTGGTATTGGATATTTTCTACGTAAAATGTCTAATGATTCTTCTACTGGCACATTGGTGAATAATGAGACTACGTCAAAGCTCACTAATAAGTGTTCCGGTTCCAGAATAACGTCCTTGATACGGTCGATAAAGTGGCTTGCATTCTTGACGTAAGAATCCGCTTTCTCTGCATATGGTTGTAGCTCCTCAGCCAGAAATTTTGCCAGTGATTGTAGCGGTGATCCGATAGAGCTGACTATTGGTCGTAATGGTAAGTCTGCCTTATGAACTTTGGGTAAACCGTAAAGTTTTGGACATCTTGACGACTTTTCTCGTGGAATAAACTGGAACTGCTGTTCTTTCTTTATGTTTGACGCTTGTATTTTGTCTTTAGTTGTTTTTTCCAGGTATGTTGTTGGGTCTGTTGCGATTTTTTGATATGCACTATCGTTTAGTATGTTCTTTATTTTTGTGTCATAGTCTTCAATGTTCATTATGCCAGTAGCGTTGCCCTTGTCAGCTGGAAGTACGATAATGTCTTTGTTTTGTTATATACTCTTCAAGGCTTTCTTTTCTTCGTAGGTTATATTCTTTTTCGGAGGCTTGGCCGTTCTTAATATTTGTGCTAAATATTGTCGAATAATCTCGGCTGTTTCTGATGGTAACTTAGTGATCGTTGTTTCCACTTCGCTAATGATGTTTTCGACGGGAATCCGTGTCGATGCAATAGCAAAATTGAACCCTTTGGAAAGGACACTATTTGTAGCTTCATCCAAAGTAAGATTTGAGAAATTGTATACCAAATTACTGGATTCTGTTGTTGGTAGTTCCTTATTCTTTGGTCGTTGTTGTAGTATCAATTTCTCAAACTTTTTGATTTGTTTTTTCTTGGTGAGATCAGCATCTGTCTCCGATCGAAAGTTTGTGAGCACACTCTGCGCACAGGACCAATCACAAGAAGTGCTACAAGGTATTTAAACTCAACGTGCAGCGACCGAGAAATCAGTTCTCCTGAAACATCAAGACGTCTTGTCATCTAGACTGGAATGAACTTAGACGGATTAAAATCGGAACTACGAATTCGAATTCCATAGAGGTATTGATAGAAGTACTCTACTGATTTCACTACTGCTAGAAGTTCTCTTCTCGTGACGCAATAATTCCGTTCAGGTTTTGAAAAAACTTTACTAAAATATCCAAGGACTCGTTCCTGTCCTTCTTGAATCTGAGACAGCACTCCTCCAATTACCACATTACTTGCATCTGTATCTAAGATGAACTCTCCTTCTGGCAGTGGATACCCTAAAATTGGTGCTGTGATCAAATGCTTTTTCAAGGTCTGAAAGGCATTTTGACAGTCTGTATCCCAGCGGTAAGCTCTTGCTTCTGTAAGTCGCATTAATGGCTTAGCGATATCTATAAACTTCTTAATAAACCTCCGGTAGTAAGTACATAGTCCAAGAAAACTTCTCACTTGATGTTTGTCAGTTGTTTCTTGCCATTCCTTAATGGAATCGATTTTCCCTTATCCACGGCCACTCCTGCTATACATACTGACTATAAGACCCGGATAATTGACTTTACCTTGAAAAAGCCGACACTTCTTGGAGTTTAACATCAATTGGGCAGCTTTAAGTGATAAAAACATTTTCTAAATTCTTCAGATGATCTTCAAATGTCTCCCCCCAAGACGATTACGTCATCTAGATAAACCAGGCATGTTTTCCAAGATAACCTTCTCAACACATTTTCCATAAGCCTCTCAAATGTCACAGGAGCATTACAGAGTCAAAATGGCATAACCTTTAATTCCCACAATCCAGATCCTGTGGTGAAGGCTGTCTTCTCTTTATCTACTGGGTCCATTTCTACCTGTCAGTATCCAGACTTCAAATCCAAAATAGAAAACAATTTACTTCCAGCCAATGTGTCCAATATGTCGTCGATCCGAGCAGAGAATAACTATCTTTCTTGGTAACGTTGTTCAGCAAACTCTAATCCACACAGAACCTCGTTGCGCCGTCTTTCTTTTTAACCAGAACTACCGGAGAGACCCATGGGCTTGTAGAAAGTTTCAAGAATCGTTTTAGTTTTCTCTCTTTTCGCCTGTGGTAATCGTCGAGCTGTTTGACGAATTGGCTTAGCATTACCAGTATCAATTTTATGCTTAACAACGATAGTTCTTCCCGTCTTTCCTCCTTTCGGTACGAAAATATCACGATACTGCTGAAGAAATTCTCTTAATTTCCTTTTCTCTATCTGATTTAGAGACTGTCCCGCAACTGCAACCATTTGGTCGAATTTGTCGTTGGAATTATCAGATGTTGTCGTCTGACGGATTATGGATGTCACAGGTACACAAGTTCCTACTTTTGTCTCTTTCTTGATGGTGACTGGATAGTCATTGACATTGATCGACGACTGTTGGCGTTTTCACCTGTAGCGATCCGAAGTCGAAACCTCGTTGGTAACAGTTTCTTACGGCTATTTACAACTGTCGGGCATATAATGGTTCTGGTCGCTCCGGTATCCACCAACAAGGTTTGCCTTTTACCATTTATTTCTCCATCTACATATACACTATCTTCACGGCAGTTCAAAGAATCTATTAATATGAGAGGGTCTTTGGAAAAGTTTCGGGTCGAAGCTGCCCCCTTCTAGTTTTCTTATGGTCTTTGTTTTCTTGTCTGTAATACTTTTCAGTATATCAACGAGCTGGTCAAGTTTATCTTCATCTCCTTCCTCTTTTACAGTCCTAGCTTTACTGTACCCGCCAGAGGCCTGCGTAGCTCACTCATATTCGAGGGCGGCTTATAAGACATCAACCAGCGTCTTGTGACGAGCTAATCGCAGTGTTCTCTGCTTTTCATGATCACGAAGACCATCAATAAATGTTTGAACGGCTAACTTTTCCATCATGTCTTCGGAAGCTGTTCGATAAGCATATCGTACTAACATAATAATATCTACCTCATATTCTTGAAGAGCCTCATCTCTCTTTTGTCTTCGATTTTTAAGCTGCGACTGAAATAAATGCTTCAAATGTTCGTGGTCATATCGCATATTTAATCTCTTCTTAAGTTGTTCGAAATCATCCGTCTCCTCTACGGCTATGGTCTGAAGCACGTCTAAGGCATCTCCTCGAAGAGCGATAGTCAGGCTTACAGCCTTTTCTTTTTCAGACCATCCATTTGTTCTTGCAGCTGATGAACTGTTTCATGTATTTGTTCTATGATAATTTTCCGTCGAAAGTTAGGGCTTTAACATGAACAGAACCTCCACTTCCTTCAAATTTCGGCCGTATTTCCAACTTAAATTTCGTCTCGTCTTCTTTTGTCTCTACTGTAAGTGGATTGTTTCCTCTCTCTGCTCTCCCTGTTTCCTTCATCTTCCTTTCCATCTCTTTCATCTTTTCTTCGAAGGCCAACATATCGGCAGCAACTTGGTTTTTTTACGGAGATATTTTATCGTCGAGGCTGTTATTGAGATGGAGTAGGCCACTGTTAATATCTAACAATCCGGTAATGTATGCAGAAGTAACTTAATTCTAATTATTCACATACAGAATATTTCCAAGCTTTTGGCTTTTAAGTGTGGGTTGATTTTTTCTCCAGTTTTGATAATGGTCACATTTTAACAATGCTACAGTATCACTATTAGATTTTTGTTTTTTTATTTTCAATACTAACTTTATTATTGAATTGATCTGAAGATAAAAAACAAATACAATTATTTTTTGAGAGATTTATTAAAGTTTTTTTACATAGTTTTACGTAAACTATTTTTTACAGTATCTTTCATTTTACTTTGTGTATGCATTTTTCTGCAATATCACACAAGAAAATAAAGAAATACCACAAGAAAGATCAGGGAGGGATAAATCAGATGAAATGAACCAAAGATAATATAATGCATTACTAATTTTGCTTTTATTTTTTTAAGGTTACATTTAATGTAAAAGAACACAAAAGAATAACAGGTGGAGTTAGTACCCATGTGGGAAACAATGAAGGTGTTCTACAAATTGGAATGAGAGCTCCAAATATCTTTGGCAGAGGTGAGAGAGTTCAAGTTGAGTACAGTCATGGTTCCAAGAAATCCAGTAATTTCAATTTAGCATTTATTAAACCTTTTAGAGGCAAATACCGTCCTACGTAAGTACATATAAAAAAATCTATATTAGCAGAAAAATAAAGAATAAGGAGAGTAAGAGAACTGTTGCACCACTTCAAAATTATAGTTACCAATGTTAAAGTTTTGTCCCATATTTCTGATTCTCTATTCTTTCACTTTGTTATTTTATTTTCGTTGATTATTAGAGTCATATTATTTGCTGCAGTTGAATTCATGAATTCCAACCCTCTTAGAGGAAATGGTACATACAGAAGAAATAATAGATACTACAGCTTCTACTTTATTATTTATGAAAAAGGAAAACAATAATTATTCATTTAATTTTAATTTAATTTATTATCGTCCTTACTCGACAAAATGAGTACAAATGATGGTAATTTATATGGGTAAATTGTTGTTGCATAGTGGAATATAAATATTCCCAACATCGCTCTGAATGGCTTGATTAAGCTTGGGAATACAGTTTTTCTGTAATTGTTATCGACATTTCACTTCATCTTCTCCCATTAGAGGTCGCTAGTAGCATACTCTGGTAATTATTTTTCCTATAATTGCCATAGTAGTCGGTGCGTTTTGGTTTGGTTGACTCTTCTGAGTCTCTCTGATGACGTGTAGACCCAGAAACACGTGTTAGAGAATGGTAAGAGACTCAAATTAAATCGAAACGTAACCGTCTACGTATATTTATTTTAATAATTATTCAAGTTCATAAGTAATATACCTGCCAGCACTAGAATCCACAAGATTTTTACCAAAGATCCGATACAGAGACCAAGTCTACCTAAAAAATCCCAATGGTACCTTTACCGAATCTAAAAAGGAAACATTACAGCTCTTACTACATACATAATTCCCAGGATCAGCAATTATTGCTAAGCACACTCAGGCTGAAAACCTAAAACAACCTAAACGTCCTAGAAAAGAAGACTGGGAATCCTTTATAAAAACATCAAACTGAAGAATGTAAAGTGGACCATGAACCACTTTGTTCCATTTAAATCTACAGGGTGGATGTAATATTTCCTGACCTACTATAAAAATGATTTGAGATGTTATTGTCCATCCTAACAATGATCTTTAGAGCTAGCATATCACTAAGACATATCAAAGACTTGGACAACTGTAAGGGTGTACATACACAAAATAGAATTACAAGACAACCTAAATTCTACGGTTCGATGAGTCTTACATAATTTCTGGTGAAGGCAATAGAAAAAATGCTTGATAGATATATAGAGGGATCATCTTTCCAATGGCAACCAGCATGCCTATCAGAAGTAAAATCAACAGAAACCGTACTTTCATTGACAGGTTCACGGATCTAAAATCAGTCACCCCATTAATAATGGAGATTTTGAACTACCAAATTATCTGAATGATGCAGCAGCATCAAAAGGGATATCTACTATCGGATGCGTCTGGTAAGTAGTAATGCTGAACAATAGACTGATTCTAACAGACCTACAAGGAGGTTGTGACCAAAACAGCTTAGGGGTGTCCACAGGGGGGAGTGATTTTTCTCCTCCTGTGGTCACTCCTGGTAGATGACCTGATTTCGCTTCTTGACGCATACGGAATAGAAGTGCAGGCCTATGCAGATGATCTAGTAATTATGGTAAGAGGAATATGCGGAAATATTCTATCCAGCACACTCAATGAACATTAAATATCCTTAGTAGATGTTGCGACAGGGAAAAACTCAGTCAATCTTAGCAAAACAGTAGTAGTCAGTTTCGTAAGGAAGTGGAACGTAGATAACATCTGGATGCCAGCTCTGTAGGGAGAGACTGTCAAAGAGGCGAATGAGGTCTAATATCTAGGGGTAATACTAAATAAGCGGTTTACATATAAAGCCCACCTGGGAAGAATATCCAACAAAGCGAAGCTTTCTCTTTGGACATGTCGAAGGATATGTGGGGAATCTTGGGGCATGGAGCCCAAACAGATCTACTAGCTATATATAACCTAAGGTTACGTATGGAGCACTATACTTCGATCTGGAAATCTTACGGAGTGACAAATACTTAGTACAGGACCACAACGTGAACATACGGCAAAATTTAATTAAATAAATTTTATGTAAATTGTTCAGTGTAGCTAGACAGACAGACAGTCCGCTTTAATAAAACTGTGATTTGAACTAAATACCGGGGAAACAGTATACGATAACAACATAAATCACGTTTTTGAGTAACAAATGCCTACGATTAGCTCCCAAAGAGCTGTAGTATCGAAACGAAGTGGCCGGTTTATCAATAGATTAAATAGTTTCGCTACGATCAGTTTATCAGTAGCGTAACTGCCGTAAATTTACTTACCGTAAACTTACCTTGTTATATTTATTTTTATAAATTGTCTGTAAAGTGTTTGAGTGGTTATTAACAATTTATTTATATCGTTTGTATGTTAACTTTGGTAAGTAGATATTTTCAATCACTTCTTTGTGAATTCTAAAATTTTTTATTTAATACTGGCAGTCAACAAAACGATAGTGTTGCATACGGATTTTCTCTGGGTGTAAAATATTGTAATGTGAAACTACTAATGTGAAATATTGTAATGTGAAAGACATTTAGATAGCTCTGGGATTGGCATTTTTAATTATGAACAATAAGAGGTTATTCATTTGCAAAATTAAGGCATAGGTACATTGGTCGTACGATAAGCAATTTGATCAAACTAAATAGAAATGTATGTTTTGTATTAATTAATAAAATATTGCAATTTTTTTAAAAAATGAGAGGAATTTTAGTTTTTATTTAAAAGATATGGTCTTGGAGTCATCTTGCAGCCTGTGTTGTCCACTTCCGAGTATAGGCCTCCTCTATTCGCTTCCATTTTTTAATATTTTCCACTTCTTTCATTCATTCATACTGTAAACAAGGTTAGGCACGATTTAAATGTTACAAGCAGTAGGCAAGCATTTGTTGATGGATTATCCACAGGCCTTAAGGCACCATCAGGTAAAGGTCGACTTCTAATTATCACACACATTGGTAGTGAGTCTGGTTTTCTTCCTGGTGGACTTTTATGTTTCGAGTCAAAAAAATCTGGTGACTATCATGAGGACATGGACGCTCAGAGATTTGAAACTTGGTTTTTGTCCATATTACCAACAATAGAACCGGGTTCGGTAATAATTTTAGATAATGCTCCCTACCATAGTCGACAGGTAGAAAAGCTCCCAACAACAAGCTGGCGCAAAGGACAAATCATTGATTGGCTGGATACGAAACTAATCGCTTATGAAAGATCAATGATTAAACCTGGGTTGTTAAATATTGCACGACAACATAAACATAAATATCATAAATATGTTGTTGACGAAATGGCTCTTAGTCACGGAGTTCTTGTTCATCGATTACCACCATATCATTGCGAGCTGAATCCAATTGAATTGATTTGGGCACAAGTGAAAACAGAGGTAGCACGTCGCAATACTACATTTAAATTATGTGATGTTAAAGTACTATTCGATGAAGCTATACGTAACGTTACCGCAGACAACTGGCGAAAGTGCATCGGTCACGTGGAGAAAATAGAAAATAAGATGTGGGATGTAGATATACAGGTAAATGTAATTATGGAACCGATTATAGTCCAACTTGATGACGAGAGCGATGATTCGGATAATTCTGATTTTGAGTACGAGTGAATTTTGTAATTTAAGCCATTTCTTGAGTACATTCCAAGTGGTTTTCACAATTAATTTGCCACAATTAATCGTGACAAACAAAGTTTGGCACGATTTAAGTATTAAAAACACTCGACAAGCGTTCCTTGAAGGTCTCTCTACGGGTTTAAAAGCACCATCAAGCAAAGGCCGACATCTAATAATAACACATTGGTAGTGAACATGGTTTTTTCCTGGAGGACTCTCAGTTTTTGAATCCAAAAAATCTGGAGATTATCACGAGGACATGGATACTGAGAAATTTGAAACTTGGTTTTTGTTCATATTGACAAAAATTGAACCTGGCTTAATAATCATTTTAGATAACGCTTCCTATCAAAGTCGTCAAATAGAAAAGCTTCCAACAAAAAGTTGGCGAAAAGGAGAAATAAGTAAATGGCTAGATAGGAAAGAAGTTGGGTATTACAAGTCTATGGTTAAGCCGGAGTTACTAAATATTGCAGGACAGCATAAACAAAAATTTCTAAAATACGTTATGTACGCTCTTCTACGAAGCCATAAATAACGTTACCCAAGAGAACTGGCAAAACTGCATCTTTCACAGGCAGAAAGAAGAAGAAAATATGTGGAATTTAGATATACAGGCAGATGTCATTATGGAACCCATTGTCGTTAAACTTGGTGCAGATAGCGAACACTGAGACATTTCTGATGTTGATTAAAAGTAAGTTATGTAAAATTGATTAATAATTCAGTTTGAAAAGTATTTTCGTAAGTTTTCACCAAGAACGTAAGATGGAATTTGATTGTGTTGTTGATATCTTTGGGAACACACACATGTATTGTTTGATGATGCCGATTAATTTTATTGCGAATTTTATTACGATTCTTTTATTTGAGCCCGAAAATAATATAATAGTAATTCATTTACTTGTATAAAAATGTACTATTTAATATACTAAATTTTAAAATTTTATTAGTCTATTTTAAAAATATTTTTGAGGTACTTACAAAATTAAATATTAATATTAATAAAATTGCTGTAAATATTTATTCAAAAACCTCGACGCCTATGATCTTCCTCACGTCCTTCCGCTCGACACCGTAACTGTCTATACTTTAAAAATACGTCACTCCGTAAGATTTCCAGATCGAAGTATAGTATGGTGGTCTAAATGTAAACAAAAGAGAAGCTGAATAAGCTTCAACTACAAGCGTGCTTAATCATAACAGGAGCGATGTCGACTAGCCCAACCGCCTCCATTAGAGAAGGAGACGAAGGTAGGATTATACAGAATGTAGATAAAAAGCCAGGAAGCAGGGCAGAAGGATACCGGGGTCAAATCTGGAGTGATAATAAAAAATCATTCTGAGTTAGACATTTTA